TAAAAAGAAAAGCTCGTGTTGTTTCTGGGTTGATGCCCTGCATTAATATTCTTGAGAAGGCAAACGATTTTAATAGCTTTTTTAATTTTCTGAGCAAATATGATTTCATTGGTTACCTCAACTACAAGCTATTAAAGAAACTAACTGAACTGGTTAAAGATGATGATAAGCTAAACCAGCATTTTGTAGACTATGAAAAAGATTATGCTAAGTTACTCAGTTCGGTTTCTTTTCAAGATTTGATACCTTTCTTTGAGAAACAATCAGACCTGTCTCCTACTGCTCCCCTTGGATTACCTTATGTTTCCTTTTGTATTGAAAAACCTGATTCATTTACTAATGCTCATGATTGCCTCTCAACCTTTGATAAATTCTCATGGTCACAAGATACATTTTTTAAACAATTACAAAGGAAATGCATTATCATCACTTATGCTATACTACCATGTGTTCTTGATGATGTCATGAAAGATCTCAAGGATCCAGTGATATTGAAGGAGCTAGAGGATAAAGGAGTTACTATAATTGAATTACCACAAGAAGAAGAAGGTACATACATAAGATAATGCAGTATAGATAATGCAGTATATAAAATTATTTTTATTTTCTATTTGTTACAGAAAATTTTGAGGGCAAGGAGGAAGGTACATGTGTACTTTTACATAAGTAGCTTTTATTGGTTTGTATACAATTATTTTTTATATTTATGTTTTCAGACCCACAGATTGAATCCACTGCTAAAGCAGAACCAGTACGTCAGTATAATAATTAATTTTCAATGATAATTTTTGTGTAGAGGGTTGATGCTTCTTCAATCATACAGACCACATCATCTGAGGGAAGCATTCCCACCACAAGCACTACTACTTTGGTAGGTATAACAAATTTACAGTTATAGTAAATTACCTTGCCGCATACACACATGTAACTAATTACTGTCATACAATGTATAGTGCAAAATTTTTTTTCACGAATCTAATTGAAAATCAATTGTGTTAGCGTTAATTTTTGGAATTTTTACTTTTCAACCATCTTGAACCTTATTAAATCAATTTTGTGAATTTTATTTTTATAAATTTTGAAAAAATGTGAAATCCATGGAAATTTTGGGCCACAAAAATTTTTTGCTATGCATGTAATTTACACATAGTTATTAAACTAGTTAATTTTGTGATAATTTGTGCAACATTATAGATATTGTTGTCTTGTCTATTTGAGCTGATTTTGTGCAACTAGTTCTTGTGCTTTTTTATTTTCATACAAAGAGACATAAATATAGTAGGAATATTTGGTGGCTCTTAATATTGGTGATTCCATGATTGCAATGCATTGGCAGTCTTTATTGTGTAAATGAGTAAATACCTTAATCTTAATTTTATATACAAGTGATTTACAACTATAATTATCCCTTTTTAAACAGAGGCTTGAGGCTGCATCAATTGGGAAAGAAGCGAAAAGTTCCAGTCTGGTACGATGATAAATTGTATATTAGCTTTACATGTAATTACATATGTAGG